GCCGCCGCGCTCCGGCGGGGGAGGCTCCCGGCAGCGGCGGCCGAGCGGCGAGCGGGGACGGGACGCGGGCCCGCCCGCCCACCCGCCTCCCAGGAGCGCCTCGGCGGAAGCGGGAGCGGCGGGGAGGATGCCGTCCGTCAGCCTGCCGCCCAAGGAGAACGCGCTCTTCAAGCGCATCCTGGTGAGTGGCGGGGCGGGAGGCCGCGGGGAGCGGGGGGAGGCCCTGCACCGTGTCCCTGGGCCGGCGGGCAGCGGGGCCCCGGCGACACCGCCCCGGGCCCGGCGGGCCCCAGCCCCGGCTCCTTCCTGCCCGTGGGCCGCGCCGCGTCCCACCCGGGCCGGGGGAGCCGCGATTCCCCTTCCCCACCTCCGTGACCCGCACTCCGGGCTCCCTGAAGTCCCCCCTCGGCCTCTTCATTCATCACCCGCCGCTGCAGCCGCCGCCCTGCCTGGGCTTGGTTTTCTTTTCTTTTTGTTTGGTTTTTTGTTTGTTTGTGTTTTTTTTTTTGCTTATAAGTCAGATTTTGGTCGGTGGGGAAGATGGCTTTCGGAGGAGGAGGAGGAAGTGGAGAAAGGATAAAGGTTTTTTTGAAGTCTTGCCGAAGTTTTAACTTAACAGCCAACTCCTGTTTGGAAAGTTTGACAGTCGATTTTTCTGGCGTGTGGGTGAAAGGAAGTTCAATGGGATTTAGGGAATAAATCTGATTTTTTAGAATGGGTTTAAGACAGCGTCCAGTCCAAACACTATCAAAGTGTGCTCAGTTCAGTTGCATCTTATGGAACTTGTTTCAGATTTGGTGCGTCGCTGCAGGAACATTGCATTTCTAAGGACTTGGGGTGAATTGGAAATGTCAGAATTTTGATAGTGAGCAACTTCAGTAAATTTGTTTAGAAGATTCTGTTATTTGGGTCAAGCACTACGTTGTTTTCTCTCAGAAAAGTCAATTGTGTCTAAAAATTTCATGTTCTCTTTCAAAGAGTCTTATACTATTATTTTAAGTATGTTCCCTTTCAAAGAGAGTTACACTATTATTTTGAGTCCTTCCACAGATCAGAAGTAAGATGAGTACTGTTGTCCTGTTGGACAATAACAGCACTCTTAAGGCTCTGTAAATTTGTGCTCCTTAGGTGGGAGGGATGTGTACAATCTTTTGTAACTTCTTTTTCCAAAATATTTTGTGAAAAGGAAATGGGTAGCCCTAGAAATTCCTATGCACAGGCACCTCATCTTGAGACACACAGCTTCAGTTAGGCTTAAAAAGTAAACACAGTGAGCTATACAATTTATTTCTGTTTTGAAAGATTCAGCCCTGCCTGGGAGTTGGTATGACCTTGTACTAAGTGTGTAGTTTTTGGTGTGTTATGAGCTGGAGAAGTAGTAACCTTGTTGCTCACTGATCCATCTTCCTTTGCATTGAGGATGGCTTGTGTGATCACAGGACAGACTGAATCAAGAAGTCTGTGTTTAAATCTGACTGCTTTTTGGTGCCTTTTTTTTTTTTTTTTCATTTTCCTTAGGCTTGGGATGTGGCTGGGTATTTGTGTGGAAGAACAAGCAGAGAGTAAGAGTGTTTTTGGAAAAAGTGCTGGCTCAGCAGCTGTGAGTTAGATGAAGCTTCCTAATTTGGTTCAGATTAGAAAAGAGAAAGGTGTGCCCCAGCACAAGCAGGTTTCTTCATACTCTCCTTTTTTTTAACTGAAAATCTTTAATGAAAATACAAGAGTTTGAGGTACTGGGTAGGCTAAAAGCTACTCTGTCATTCTGATATTTTCCTGTATCTTGCAGGGATGAGCCTGTGGTGTGTAGTCTGGTGTTTAAGACTGCTCTGTAAAGAGTTGGCTTTATAACATGTGGTGAATAAAAAAGGCTTGAAGCTGCTTTTTGGTCATGCTGGAATTTTGGCTAATGAACTGCTTGTCTGCCTTGTTATGGATAATGACTGTGAACTTCTGGTTACGTGTTTGCCTTGAATTAGTAAGGCGTCTTTTAGGAAGTCCCATTTATCAGTGCAGGCCCTAGGAAAAATCACTTCCCTGCTCCTGTGCCTTCTCTCCACCTCTCTCTTCCTGCAGCCTCTCCTTGTTCTAGGCCTTGTTTTCTGGAGAGTGTAACACTTAATCCTCTGCCACCTCTTCCCGTGGTCCATGGCTGGTGGAACAGCAGCAGGAGGAGCTGGATTCTAGCTGGGCACCTCTGAGCCCCCTACCACCTCCTCAGGTGGCCTGACTGCCTGGCCCTGGCTCAGCACATGCTGCCTCCTGTCCCAGGCTGACACATGTTCTGTTGAACACATCTGGATGAGATCTTTTTTCACCAGATGCTTTGAGAACCAGCCCAAGTGTTTCTGAAAGGATGCATTACCCTTCAGATAGATGACTAGTGGTACACAGGCTGTTAACCAGGAGTATAAAACCATTCATATTCTGATTTTCATGGAGGTAGTAAACACAGGAGTTAAATAGGTAGCTGCCTTGTATTTTTGCAAGTGAAGCATAAAACTGAAAAAAGCAACTTGACTCTGAGTGTGTTTTCAGTTCCTGAGGCCTCATTTTTTGCCATTTTTAAGAAATATACCTGTAACACAAACACTTAAGGTCTGCAGCAAACTGCTCAGCTTTCCATGGCAAAGGGCAATAATTAGCTCTCAGAGTTTGGTTTTCTTGTTTGTTTAGTAGTAAACATCCTGTATGATCAGGACGTTTCTTATGCATATGGATTTGCTCACAAGCCAGCATTTCCACTCAACTGACAAATGCTGAGTTCAGAAGCGTGTGCACTTTGCCTTTGCATGTTCCAACACACTATAACTAGACTAACCTCTTCCAGTCACTTTACAGGTATGTGGAGGTTCTAACAGAAACATTTTTCCATTTGAAAGGCATTTTACGATGTAGAGCTCCTGTAGTACAACGGGAAAGGGATCTGCAAGATTTGTTTGAATAAAAAAGCCACCCACAGGATTAGCAATCACCATTCTACTTAAACTTGCACTTCCATTGAAAGAAAGTGTCTAGCTTACACTGTTTTTCTAGTTTTAACTGTTTGCTGTTAAGTCTACAGGTAGATGTTCCAGTTCTTCTGCTCAGAGGTTCTGAGGAACTTAGAAGAAAAGTGGATCTCAACATTTGAACATTTAAAATGATTCTTTTGAACACACATAACTTCTAGGTGGTCCAGAAATTACTGGAGAAGAATTCAGGTGAAGACAGAGGAAAGGGTAGAATACTAAACACAGCAAAGAAATGAAGAAGTTGGCTTTTTGGTACACAGAAGGCTGGATGCACTATGAAGTAATGGAGTTTACTCCATTTCAACTCTCCCTTACTATCAAGTATAGAACTAGTAGTTGTAGGAAGTAAGATAGACTGATTTTTAATTTTTTTTAATTCAGTATAACTGATGAACATTCCTGGCATTTTGCCAAATTGTTCAGCCACTGTATCTGGTCAGGTGCAATTCATCAATGATGTTCACTTTTATTTCACAAATCCCAAAGATAATATTCAATTAACTTTTTGTTTGGATGTGGAAGTTAAATATGTTGAAAATGCATTGAAGAAATATTAAATACAGAGCTATTAGAGGTGCCATATATTGTGTGGAAGAGTTTTTTCTTTTAGTCCCTTTAAGAAGCAGTTCTCTCTCCAGTGGACATTAGAGTATCCAGTGTGTGTCTCCTGCAGGAAGGGGATGTTTGAATTTCACCTTTAGATGGTAATTTTTGCTTTTGCACTGCTGTGCTTGAGGGTGTTATCTTTGAGCTGGTGGTCTTCCTCTCCATGCTGGCTTTGACAAGTGTCCTACTAAAAGATACAGGAACTTCCTAATGATAAAAAAGCCTGTAGAACAGCGTCTCTTCCATGTCTCTGCTGTAAATATGCCAAGTCCTTCCTGCTGGGCCATCTTCCTGTTTCTTCATTCCAGAATCTGCTCCCTGTCCCTCCACTTTAAAACTAGACAGACCAGTGCTTCTCCTTTGCTAATACTTTCACCAGCACCAGTCCTTTAAAAGCTATATTCTGTATGTAGAAGTTCAGGTGCTGAGTTTAGGATCACTGAGGTGGCAGACTTGGAAATCTGCTCTTAAGTGATCTTGATTCAAGATTAAAGACTTCATTTCCAGAATTTCACCTTCCAGTAGCCAAATAAATTAGCTCATTTTGCTTGCAATCATTGTTGCATTTGCATGACTGTACAGTGATGAAGTATGTTCACTGGAATTTCGCCATGTACTGTCTCAGTTGAAATATGGAATTGCTAACAAGGCTTTTCCAATATCCTG